TTATATTCATTTTTATTACTCGAATTTAGAAGGCATTCTTAAACTAAAGCTTAATTCTATTTTAAGAAATTTATTTTCATAATTAATTAAAATGTTGAAACATTTAACGGTGGCTTTTAATTATTTAAACATAAGTTTATCTACTATTATATAAATCAAAGGGATGGAAGGGATGTAATTCATAGTCAGCTTAAGCTTTTTTTATTGGTCTGACATCTTTTCTTTCTTTTATTATAAATAGAACTTCCATCCGTTTAAAAAATTTTTTGGCGGCGCTTAACTTAACTTAACATTAACGTTAATGTAAATGATGACGTTGACGTTGATGTCGACTCTAATGTTAACATTAACGTTAACTTTAACTACCCTATATACACAACGCAATCATTTTCGTAACACTTGAAATTTCCTTTTTTTTTCGAAAAATTCCTTTTTTAAACAAATTCTGAACGAAAATCTCCTTTTTAAAGTTAAATACGTTGCACTAAATTAAATCATATTCGTTAAAAAAAAAAATTAAAAATATTGATCAGCTTTTTTGTCATTCTTTTTCATTCTTTTGCCCTTGCACATTTATTAATGGCCGAGGAATTTTTATCACCTTCCTTAACCTTTACCAATACTACTAATTATAGTAATAACAATAATAAAAATGAAAACTATTATGACAAAAAGTATGATTGTGTTAATAACAATAGTGAAATTTATCATGAAAAACAAAGATTTTGGCTTTGTGGAAAGGTAATTTAGGAATAAGGTTTAATTAATGTATACATCAATTAAACAATTAATTAAATATTACCATTACTGTTTATGTGTTATAAGCATACTTTAAACAATCTTGTAAGTTAATTTCAAAATCTTTATTTTTTTATTTTTTACTAAAATAAATAAATAAATAAATTTTTTTTGCATTTTTAAAAAAAGTTTCAATGTCAACTATTTACAAGATCAAAACTTGATGAAATTGCAATAAAACTTACACAGGATTCAATAAGTTCTGGAGTTAATGGCAGTTTTAATAGTTATATTGAGTATGTGAAGAATATTTATAATTCATATTTTAATCAGCATAAAAGTATTTTGTAAGTAATAAATATGTATATATCATTAATTTATTATATATAATTTATTAACATCACAAATGTTGATTTATTTATTTATATCTTTCAAGTGGATTAGGTAATTATGATGTTAATGTGTTACAAGCAGCTTTAGAAGAACATGATTTAGAAACTCAATGGTTTGATTCTAGAAAAGGTACAAAGAAAAAGAAGGCATTATAAGATATTAACAATATTAATAATTATATAAAGGATAAATAATCATTAATTGATTTATTAATATGTTAAAAGATATTCGTACATTAATACAATTTAATGACAAAACACTATTTGGATTGATATTAAATGTTATGCAAACTAAATTTTATTTTTGGAAATCCAATCATTGGTTTGCAATTAAACCAATGTTTGATAACATTAATAATAATAATGGAGATGATGTTAGTGATGGGGATGAATATGTCACCAACAAATTATTATTAGAGGATGCTACAGTTTGGAATTTAGATTCAAAATTATCAAAACCTCATAAATTTTTAAATTCAGAAGAGGTAAGTAAAAGTCATCTTTGATTAATCAATTAATTATGTTTAATCGATTAATTGTTATTATTTATTTAAGGCTTATAGATTTCTTGAAATAAATGTTTATCATAAAAATTCCCAACTTATCATTGTAAAATCAAAGTTAAAAGATTTAGGCTAACAATTTATTTTATTAATGGCTATTTAATTATAAGTTTGCTATATTATATATATTTGTATTATATTATATTATATTGTGCAACCCATGCATGTCAATATGGTAAAATTATTATTTCTTCGATTAATTCTTTACTTCCATCACCACCAATGCCACCTTCCTTACTTCCTATAAGAACTCTACTAGTTTTAGGAAGGATAAAAGATGGTGATGTTGTATTATCGTCTCCAATTAAATCAAAAGTATGTAATATATACCTATGTAATAATTGAGTAAATACTCTAGCAAAAAACTGTGAAAAAAGCAGTAACAAATGATGCAAAAATCAAAGAAAAAAGATCAACACCAATGAAAAATCCTTTGGCCAAAAAGATTCCGGTACCAGTGATCAACATAACAATACTTGTTGTAACAAAAAGAAATGTCAATAGGATCGTTAAAGGTATGGCATTTAATGCTATCACTCCATAAGTAAACTAATTTAAAGGAGGAAAATTTCCCAAAAGAAGGATGTTGCTTTTTGCACATAATATATAGGATGTGTAATGACCTCTTTGCCTTTTTGTGCTGCATGACCAATAACTTGTTTAGTTTCAGAAATGGTTGGTTTTGATTTTTCTACAATTGTAAAAGTGGCTCCTGAAATAACTTCTTTTCCGTGACCATAAATTTCTGATTCTAGTCGTTTTCGTCGTCCTCCGCCGCCTTCTTGTTCTTCTTCTTCTTATTGCTGCTGTTGCTGTTCTCTTTGTTCTAATGGTTCTCGATATTTATCACCATTATCGCTGCCAACTCAAGCCATTTCTTATAATTTTTTTAGATGAAAGAAAAAAAATAAAGAAATCTATGTTTTTTTTTTTATAGTTTAATAATCCATCAATCATTACATAATAAAAGCCATATTATATTATAAATAATCAATAAATAAACGAATTACATAATTACATAAATATTTTCCTTTTATTAATCATTTTATTAAAATTAACAAACAATTTAATGATTTAAGCAGAAACAAAGTAATTAATCGTGATAATTACTATTATTTTGGCTTGAGCACGTTCAAAAATCATCAATTCATCTGGCTTGAATTAAATCTCCAATTCGTTTTGGATGTGTTATTTATTATATGATATTTCAAAAATAATTTGCAAAACACATGCTTTGCCAGTTTTTTGTGTAGACGGAATAATCACTGTGAATCCCGGGATCGAAATTGACCAGCATCATGGAAAATTCTGACAACACTTCCGTATAATTTTGACCGGCGTAAGTTTTAATAAAATGTAAATACAAAATCACATGATAATGATTCTCATGTGACTTCTATACGGCCTTTTTTCTTGTACGGAGGGTGTTGTTATAACGGGAGCGACTTGTATTATGATATTTCCAATAATTAATTCGCTGTTATTCGTAATTAGTTTCGTCATCCGTAATACTAATACGGTAATTAATTTCGTAATTACAGTCAACCCCCTCTAAGTACACGCTCTCACTCATTCCCCAAGCTTGGTAATTAGAGATAAGTGCACACCCCCCTCTGCATGGTCATTTTCCATTCCCAACTATATAAAACTCCCATATCTAAGTGCACGTCCGTGATTTTCACGTGATCGTTGTCCAATAAAATTGTGCGACGTTATAAATTTAAATAATTTTTTCCTTTGTTGTGTTAACAAAAAAAAAGGATAAATAATTGATTTTTGTAAGAGATGATAAAGAATTAAATTTTATACTTAGTAAATGATGATAAAGAATATAAAGAATTATTTTGTAACAGGCGGGTAAATAATTGTTCATCTTTATTAAACTAAAGAATTCTTTTTTTTTAATAGATACAAAGGTTATTGTTATTAGAACAAAGAACAAAGAAAGCAGGTAGAGAGGCTTATGTAGTCAAAATAAGACATGAATCAAGATTTTATTTAATAACTAAGTACAATGGAATCTTAATCAATAAATTTCTATTTTTTGGTGACAATAATGTAACATTGTAATTGATTAATATACATTAATATTAATAAAAAAAACTTTATTCTTTATCAGTATCATGTGTAACCAATGAAATGCTTTGTTTTTCTAAGTGCACGTTATCACTCATTCCTGAGGTGAGTGCACCTTAAAATAAGTATGAAGAAAAGAAACGCTTTTGACCTGGCGTAGAATAACCAATATTTAAGCTAGTCTTTTCTTTTAACTGTTGTTAAA